CAAACAGATAAATAAATAACTTTTGACTTGTACCTCTCTTGTCCCTAAGCTAGTTAATGAAATTACTTTACATTCCATTGTGCAAAAATACAAATTATACTTGTGTCAACATTTCAGTTCTTTAACAAAACAAGAAAGCTTTTCATTGAGATAACTCCTTTAAAAAGAAAAGAAAAGCTGATAGACCAGTTTTTCCTATAGAAATTCTTATTTATTTAAAGATTCCTGTTTACGGCTCTATATCTTGGCAAAATACTTATTGTAAAAAGTATCTTCAAATTAAAATTTGAACCAAGAGAAATTTGAACAACAGATGGGCAAAAGAGAGAGACATCTGTTGTGATTTAGTTGGAAGTTATATGCAGAAGGAGGAAGCTTCATTCTGGATTTCCTTGCAGTAGAGAGAAATTGCTTCTTGTCCCAGAAAACCCGTATGGGATCACTTTGGATCATCCAAAGCCTTTTTGAATACCTGCCAGTGAAGATTTGGTAAACAGAGGAATCTCTGGTTCATGGACTATTGTTCCAATCGAAGTAATATTATTTTCCTCATTCAACTCATTAGCTTTATAATTAAAACTTATACCTCTATTTTCTTTATTAAATTAGCAGCCTCCTATTGGTTTTTTTTCCTAAAGAGGGAAAATTGGTAGAACAGAGATCATTCATGTCATATGTATTTTATCTGTAGTCAGTTGCCGTAAAATAAGTGGTTTTTGGTTTTGTATTTACTGAGAGCAAATGCATAGAATGATGGAACTGTTTTTGTTGATATATTGAATTATTTTGTTGTGAGGAAGTGTAACATGTAATAGAAAATGCTATTAAGGTTCAGGTTTCTAACAATATTGCTCAGATCTTTCCAAAAACAGTGAGAAATTAAAAGGCGTCATGTAGCTGTACTTTGAAAGTTGAGCATTTATTTTAATTAAAAATACTTCATTCCTCAAATAAACTATGTTATTAGTATACGTTACTAAGGTAGATTTTCATCTATGCTATCATATACATAGGTGGGTTAGACAGCATCACCACCAGATGGATTTGTAGCTGGCTGACTAGCTGTATTCAGTGTGTGGTCCTCAATGGAACTGCATCTACATGGAGGGAAGTGTGTAGTGGGGTGTCCCAGGGCACTGTTCTGGGTCCAGTGCTCTTCAACATCTTCATCAACGATTTGGACGAGAGGATAGAGGGGGAACTCATCCAATTTGCTGATGACACCAAGCTGGCATGAATAGCCAACACTCCAGAAGATAGGCTTAAGGTATAGGAGGATCTTGACAAACTTGACAAACATTGGGCGCTAGCTAACAAAATGAAATTCAATGGTGAAAAAAGTAATGTTCTACATTTAGGCAAGAAAAACCAAATGCACAGGTATAGTATAGGTGGTACCTTGCTCAATAATAGTAACTATGAGAGGGATCTTGGAGTTCTAGTGGACAATCACTTAAATATGAGCCAGCAGTGTGCTGCAGCAGCCAAAAAAGCCAACACAGTGCTAGGCTGCATTAACAGAGGGTTAGAATCAAGATCATGTGAAGTATTAATACCACTTTACAATGCCTTGGTAAGGCCACACTTGGAATACTGCATCCAGTTTTGGTCACCACGATGTAAAAAAGATGTTGAGACTCTAGAAGGAGTACAGAGAAGAGCAACAAAGATGATTAGGGGACTGGAGGCTAAAACATATAAGGAACGGTTGCTGGAATTGGGTATGTCTAGTCCAGGGGTAGGAATTCTGGGAATTGAAGTCCACGAGTCATAAAAGAGCCAAGGTTGCCTACCCCTGGTCTAGTCTAATGAAGAGAAGGACTAGGGGTGACATGATAGCAATGTTCCAATATCTCAGGGGTTGCCACAAAGAAGAGGGAGTCAAGCTATTCTCCAAAGCACCTGAAGGCAGGCAAGAAGCAACAGATAGAAACTAATCAAACAGAGAAGCAACCTAGAACTAAGGAGAAATTTCCTGACAGTTAGAACAATTAATCAGTGGAATGACCTGCCTCCAGAAGGTGTGAATGCTCCAACACTGGAAGTTTTTAAGAAGAGACTGGATAGCCATTTGTCTGAAATGATATAGGGCAGGGGTAGGCAACCTTGGCTCTTTTATGACTCGTGGACTTCAACTCCCAGAATTCCTGAGCCAGCATGGCTGGCTCAGGAATTCTGGAAGTTGAAGTCCACGAGTCATAAAAGAACCAAGGTTGCCTACCCCTGGTATAGAGTTTCCTGCCTGAGCAGAGGGTTGGACTAAATGACCTCCAAGGTCCCTTCTAACATTATTATTATTGTTGTTGTTGTTGTTGTTATATAGCAGCTCTGGATAGAATAACATTATTTCAAAAATCTGGCTGATAAAAGATTTGTTATTCAGTAAATTTCCCTTTCCTTGTAATGAAAATACAATTTCTATGAATTCAGTTTACTGTTCACTCTTTTATTAGGTTGGATATTGGCAAATCCATGTTAGGAAACTTCGGGAAAATTAAACAAATGAATTTGTAATAACTTTAAGGAAATCTAAAGTGTCTCCATTTCTACAGTCATGTATAATCCTGGTCATTACATTTAACTGCAACAACACAACAACAAAACCCAGCCACAAAAAAGCTCCGAAGGAGAGTATAGGGTAAGGAAGAACTCAAGACCACACCATCTTGATTCTCTTTAGTGTAAAAGTGAGGGTGGGGGAGAGAGAGAAAGAAAATTTGTCAGGCTTTCTTGATTCTTTTATTATAGCAGTTCTTGTGAAGCCTCTTCCTTGACCTGGCCTACCTTGAAAGGCTGACATGTGCTAAACTCATATTTACCAAGATTAGACCACTTTCCTTCTACATGTTTTCTAGATATACTGAACTTCTACTTCCACAATACAGCATAGATTTTAAAATTACTAGAATTGAAGTCCATCACACCTGGAGAGTACTACACTAAGATCAGACAAGTATCAAAATGACAAGAATATCAACAATTGTTATATATCTCCAGAACCAAAAACAACACATCACCAGCTGCAGAATAGCAAATTCTATTGCTGCCATTCTTGTGATTATCAGGGTAGAAAACATATATGTTCTGATCTCATAAGACCTTCCTTTTTCTCCTCTCTCTTTTGTACAGACACACACACACAAACTCACATACAGCGTTTTTTGTGGCATAACTGAACTACATGAATTTAAACTTGCATTTTAAAAGCACACAATACTTCTATTAGATGTTTTTTGAATAATGAGATCAGCAGTTTTATATGACCAGAAAGAACTATGCATGTAGAAAAGAGTTTATTATTTTATTAAAAATTAAATGTTATCATTAAAATACATACAAATTTTAGAATGATATATTTTATTAACATGTTTTCCTTGTTGCAGAAATAATGTACAAAATGCCCTTGGAAAATATTTTGAAAGTAAAAAAAAAGACTTAAATATTATTGAGATAAATCATTTATCATTTTTTAAAACATAGAAATTTAACAAAGCTTTACTACAACACATAATAATTTAAAAACCCCAACTTTTATTTATTTTTTCTCTTTTCTATTAATAATTCTTTTTTTCTCTTTGTTCCTCTTCATTAAAAAAGGAAAATAAAGGATCAAAGTATTATCTATTGATGCATGGCAATTTCTCTTTATTTATTCATGAAATAGCAGGATAGATACTACGATCTATCAAAATCTCCAGAGCAATGTTTTCCAAATTCAGCAACTTTTAAATTATGTGGACCTCAGTTCCCAGAATTCCCCAGCCAGCATGCATGCTGGCTCTAAAATTCTGGGAGTTAAAGTCTTCACAATTTAAAGCAGTGGTTCTCAACCTGTGGGTCGGGACCCCATTTGGGGTCGAACGACCATTTCACGGGGGTCGCCAAACAACGCAGTCCACCATTTTTTTCCCCTTTTCCTTAGCTGTGCTACTCCCTTTTATTCTATTGGCTTTTGAAAGCCATAGAATAGACTCTCTTGAATAGAGTCTAATTCTATTGGCTTTCAAAAGCCAATAGGAATTGTCCAGGCTGTCTCTGCCCTGCTGAGCCCGCCAAAAGTCCCATTCTGCAAACGGTGCTGCACCAGATGAGTAGTCCTCAACTTACGACCGGTTAAGTAGTCCTCGACTTAGGACCGGTTGGGGGTCACGGCATTAAAAAGGTTGAGAACCACTGATTTAAAGTACTTCTTTGAATGAGGGGATTGTCCCTTTACGTCTTAAATAGGCCTTGGTTTAACCTCTCTTCCAGAAGCCCTCATTACATCCTTTCATGCTGGACAACTTTCATTCACTATCTAACCTCCCTTTTTGGGGGACGGTGATTGAGAAGATGGCTAGATTGTAGTTTTAATGGACCATGAATGAAATGGACTGAAAACCACCTTTTCAGTCAGGATTCAGATCCGGTTATGGGATGATGATGGCATTGGTTGTACTTTTGGATGATCACTCGCTGGCATGATGGGGGGTTGTGCATCTATCCTTGCCTTTTTGTAAGATAGGCAGCAATACAAATTGATAAATATATAAAAATAATTGAAACAGAACATATTTATTTAATAATTTAAATATTACTCCCGCAATTCATTAAGAGTCTGGTACAGTAGTGGTGAACCTATGGCATGGGTGCCAGAGGCGGCACTTGGAGCCCTCTCTGTGGGCACACGTGCCATTGCCCCAGCCTCGCCTCCCCCCATGACCCCCTCCTCTCCAGCAGCCCCCCTGAAGGAGAGTCACCCCTGAGCATGGCTCACGCAGAGCAGTGCAGCCAAGGACATGGCAGCCAGGCAGTGTAGACAAGACTCTGCCCTCACACCCCATCATGCACAGTTGATGCTGTAGGGCGCGGGCACTGGGTGTGACCACCATAGCGCTACTGGGCTGCCTGGGCGATCTACAGCGGGCCCTGGATGTGGTCAGTGGCCCTGCGGGCAGGTGGGGAGGGAGATGGGGGGGCAGAGTGGGGGTGGGGCAGGGGGTGAAGTGGGGGCGGGGCAGGGGGTGGAGTTTTGGGGCACTCGGTCTCTCAAAGGTTCGCCATCACTGGTCTGGTAGAACAAATTGTAATAGTGAAAACTGTGGGGTTTTTTTACAGATCATATAGTAGTACTTAAATTGATGTTTTGTTAATATTCTAGCAACAAAAGTGCCTATGTATAGCTACTTTTCATTAATGTATACCCATGACCCTGCATTGTAAAAACAGAACCTGCTCTACATATTTTTTGAGGGCTGGTGGAAAGCTGATTTTCAAGTGGAACTGGTTTTCCTTGATTAATATCTGAATGAAAATATTCCCCAGGTTCTAAAAATTATATACCTTTCTCTTATATCAACTGATATATAGTATGTAATTGATGAAGTAAATAACAACTCAGTTCTGGGGAAGAAGAAGGGGTAGGAAAGAAAGTCAAGAGAACCCTGCTTTGATTTTGTTTGGCACAAAAAGGCCTAGAGAGAAACTGTCAGAATTTCAAAATTCTGTTATTATTTCCCGTAACACCAAAGCAGAGTTCTGTTAGTTTGTGAGTTGCCTGTTTTCTGACTTGGATTTGTAAATAAACTCCACAGGAGAAAAAGAAACAGCTTAGCTCTGAGCATGCTTAGGATCATATTAAAATAATAATCTTATCTCAATAGAACAAAACAGAGTTTGATAAGCATCTAAACAGAAATTGAAAGGTGCAAATTAAGCAAATTTAGAGTCATTTTAAATAATTTTTGAATATTTCTCTGATTGGTTTAAATTGAATTAATGTGACTGAATGTGTCTCTAGCTTATCCCACCACAGGATGCAATGTGTCTCTAGCTTATCCCACCACAGGATACGTTGATGGAATAAGTCACTTATTCCATCAACGTGATCCAAACAGACCCTACTGGGAATGTGTGCAAACCAGACCTTCTAACCTACAATGTGTTCTCAAGTTATTTCCATAAATCCAAGATGGAAGATTCAAATGTCATTCTAAATCTTAAATGTGATTGTGATATATGTGTATGCAAGTTTTTTCCCACTTACAAATATATCAACATGTCCTTCATCAGCAACATTATGAAAATAGAGGACGCAGATAGCTACCACTGCAGTTTAAGTTAGAACAAGTTTTTCCCCTGTCTATATTAGCAACAAGATCATCCCATTTCCATCTTGTCTTTTCTGTTCATCCACCATCAATTTGAATCCTATTCAACAGCTTAAGATAATGGAGTGACCGAGCTGCAATTAACCTTGGATGGGCCCAAAAGTTGACAACATTGGTGCAAGGCTCTTAAACCGCTGTTAGACTTTGGGAAGACCTCTGCAGAACTGTTGCCACTGTTTGATAAAAAAGAGAATGGTTTTTAATAATAATAATAATATGAATAAAGTTATTTATCATACATAACATTTCATCAATGTAAAACAGAAAATGCAATGGATAAAAAGTTCCATTATAAATAATATTTTCAAAATGTTCTTGGAATAACCAACAGCTTGTTTCATTGGCAATGAATCAGTATGATTATTTCAGACTAGCTAGAACAGAATAACAAAATTTAGCAAATGTAACAAAACTCGCCAGATTTCTTTGAGAGGTTCCCATTCTCCCTAAATTAGCATTTGCCAGTGGGAAAAATTCTGTGCATGCAGGAGTCTTTATTTGTGCATTAACCTCCTGCTTAATTAGAGTAAGGTTGCTTAAAATAAGGATATTAACTGGAAAAAGTAAAGAGATAAATTGCATTGCAGATGTATACTGTAGTACATGGAAGAGAAATGTTGCATAATTTCTCACTAATGCTCCTGCTCTTGATCATATATCCATAAGATTTCCAAATATAGATACTAAGTAAGAGCTCTTAATGTTTGTGAAGGCATCACTAAAGATTTACCATAAGTCTTCAAAAACTGAGCAGTCAAACTAAGACAAAGATGTTCAAATATAAATTACTGTGCTGTCTTAAAGAGCAGAGAAAGTATGGAAACAAATTTTTAAAAATTCAGCCTTTTATAACCCAAACATTTTTTTTTAAACTATCTGCAGGAACTTCTGAAATGTTACCATATTATGCCATATCTTTATATATTATAGTTCATATCACATTCAATATTCTTGGAATATTTACTGGCAATAAGCAGTCTGATTTCACATATGATCTCTGTGACACGGGAATCTAATTACCTGTTAAAGAGGTTTAAGCAGCAGGCAACTATTTCGGTGCTATTGTCATTTGCATTGAAGTTGCTTTGTAATAATGTTGTACATGGATTTTCAGATAATATACCTAAAAAAGGGTCAGAAAAGATGTTTGTATTAAGCAATAGTATCCTTTGGGTTATGGCAACAAATGCACTGAGACACTGACTTGTACTTTATCTCTGTTTTTCACAAGGTTGTTCAATTTAGTTAAATTGACAATGAATGGATTGGTTTGCACTAGAGCTGGGTTGTACACATATACTGTAGTGCTTTTAAGAATCCATCTCAGGACTATGCACAATCTATCATACCACCTATATTTTTTGACCCATTCAGACAAAATCTTTGTGTGCAAACCCGACTCACCAAAAGCCTGTAATGTTTCTTTTACAGAACTGAAAAATATCTCAAAGGCAAGACCCATAGCATGTTAGATAATATCTTAATGGATTCTTATGGCCTCAGCTATCAGATCCACAGTTCAGAAAAACTGTTTTAGATTTTACCTATTCTTTTCAGCTTTTAAAAAGTGCATTCATTCAAAAGTTTTCCTTCAACTCATTAAACAAAGTATCTGCCAGATTGGAAGGAGAAGTCTTTAGAATTGTATTGGGCTCTAGGCAAGAGCACCCATATGTTGCATAAGCTCTTTTCAGATAAAGTTTGCAGTAAAGTCTACCATAGTGTTCTCTGAATAGGCCTTGGATACTAAAATCTGAGCTTTGTTAAACAAATGTACCTTAAGTGTTTTGTTCAAATCTACATGTGAAGATCTGCCCTTTTAAACAGGCTGAGCTTAGAGAATGAGAAATACCTATTTTTGCATGAAGAATTAAAAATACATTTACACTTATACTTCCAAGCCATCCTCGTTATTTCAGACAGGATTTTGAATCTAACTAAGTACAAGTGGAAACAGAGGGGGTGTTTGTTTGTTTTTTTATTTCAAGGGGTTCCTGAAGAAACATTTTCCAAGTATTAGGAAAACTTCCTGTATGACATAGTAAGAGAGAGCTGTGGGTGGAAGGAGATGAAAAAATGCTAAATTGGATAGAATTACCTTTTGTGAGAAAGAGCATCATCTTATAAATTTCTTTACCCAATTTTTGCTAGTTGTCTTGCCTTCCATTTTCTGCAAGACTCTTTTGCATTTAAGGAAGATGATTCCTGGAAGAAGCTCCTTACTCAGAGCCCTTTCACACAGAGGGTATGCATTAATCTGCACTAGGTGCCATAATGGTGTGGGGCACATGTAGGACTTGGGAAGCAGCGCCAAATAACAATCAGAAGAGCCGTAGTGGCACAGTGGTTAGAATGCGGTATTGCAGGTTAATTCTGCTGACAGCCAGAGTTCGGTTCCCACCCACTCAGGGTTGACTCAGCCTTCCCTCTTTCCGAAGTCAATAAAATGAGAGCCCAGATTGTTGGTGGCAATATGCTGCTCTGTAAACCACTAAGAGAGGGCTGTAAAGCACGGTAAAGGGGTATGTAAATAAGTGCTATTTCTTTTGTTATCACAGGTTTGTAGCATTTCTTCCGGAAGAGTGGTTCTCCCACCAGGGAGAACTTTTAAGTAGTTTGGTCTTCCAGAAACTTCTCCCTGCCTCTTACAACTAGGGCTCTATAGCACTTTGTCACCATTTTGTCCAGTTTTTGAAGAACGACTCAGCAGCTTTTTGAAGGCAGAAAGATGGAATGCAAGATATGCTTGATGGTTCAATAGAAAGATGGAGCAGATCACTTGTATAAGGAACAAAATTGGGGCAGGGTCTATAAGGGGAGAGGCTGATGTCTATGTAGAAAGGTCTTCAAAAGGAGAGATAATAGAAAGGAAAGTCCCTTCCTTCAACTTTTTTTTTAAATCTAAGCCATTATAATTGCTATCATACCATTAAGCAAGGATTTGTTTCTTCATTCTACTCAAAACCAAATGATGCTATCACTGAAGCACAATTATATCACATTTAAGTCTTTCTAAAAACTCCACTGATTTCAATGGGAGGGTTCAATTTCCCCCATGCAGCATAAAGTTTCTGGATCATGTCAAACATAATGTGTCAAATGGTGGCATGTAATGTTACGGTACCTGCAACACAAGCTGTCATGAAGCAGGCCACAGTGCCAGCAATCATGGCCCTGAAGGCTCCCCCTGCGATATCTCTCTTCCTGGTGGGAGCCAAGGATGCTGGAGACGTGAATAGAAGAAAACGAACAAGTGAGCAATATGCAATGTTGAGACATCTGCAGTATTCAGCACTTTTCTAACACTTTTATAATCTCTGGAGCAGCTTTGGTAAAGATTATTGCAACCTAGGATAGATGCAGTTAGGTAACAAGAAGTGATATTTGTAATATCTTTTCAAATAAAAGTTCACCTGGGAAAATCGTGCAGAATTTAAACCATAGAGGCCAACAGAATTCAAGAGGCTTTTGACAAGGTAATGACCCTAAGCTAATGAAATGCTTAACTCTGCTCTCCAGCTCTACCTGCTCTAATAATATAATATAATATTGTTGCTGTTAACTGCGAAGACATGTCCGACCCATCGCGACCCCATGGACAACGTTCCTCCAGGTCTTCCTGTCCTCTACCATCTTCTGGATTCCATTTAAGTTCATGCCTACTGTTTCAGTGACTCCATCCAGCCACCTCATTCTCTGTCGTCCCCTTCTTCTATTGCCCTCAGTCTTTCCCAGCATTAGGCCCTTTTTCAGTGAGTCCTTCCTTCTCATTAGGTGGCCAAAGTATTTGAGTTTCAACTTCAGGATCTGGCCTTCTAAAGAGCAGTCGGGGTTGATCTTTTCTAGGACTGACCGGTTTGAATGCCTTACAGTCCAAGGGACTCGCAGGAGTCTTCTCCAGCACCACAGTTCAAAGGCCTCAATTCTTTTGTGCTCAGCCTTTCTTATGGTCCAACTTTCACAGCCATACATTGCAACTAGGAAAACCATGGCCTTGACTATATGCACTTTTGTTGGCAGGGTGATGTCTCTGCTTTTTAGAATGCTGTCTAGAGTTGACATAGCTTTCCTCCCCAGGAGCAAGCGTCTTTTAATTTCTTGGCTGCAGTCCCCATCTGAGGTGATCTTGGAGCCCAGGTAAATAAAATCTGTCACTACCTCCATTTCTTCCCCATCTATTTGCCAGGAATTGAGAGGGTCAGATACCATGATTTTGGTTTTCTTAATGTTGAGTTTCAAGCCAACTTTTGCACTCTCCTTCTTCACCCGCATCAAGAGGCTCTTTAATTCCTCTTCACTTTCTGCCATTAGAGTGGTATCATCTGCATATCTTAGATTGTTGATATTTCTCCCGGCAATCTTAATTCTAACTTTTGATTCATCTAGCCCTGCCTTTATTTATTTATTTCTAAAATTTATATGCCACCCAATCCCAAGGGACTCAGGGCGGCGTACATGATGTGCTCTGCATATAAGTTAAATAGGCAGGGCGACAGCATACAGCCTTGCCGGACTCCTTTCCCAATTTTGAACCAATCAGTGGTTCCGTGTCCAATTCTCACTGTTGTTTCTTGACCCGCATATAGGTTTCTCAAGAGACATATAAGATGGTCTGGTATTCCCATCTCTTTAAGAACTTGCCACAATTTGTTGTGATCCACACAATCAAAGGCTTTAGCATAGTCAATGAAGCAGAAGTAGATGTTTTTCTGGAACTCCCTAGCTTTCTCCATGATCCAGCGTATGTTGGCAATTTGATCTCTAGTTCCTCTGCCTCTTCGAAATCCTGCCTGTACTTCTGGTAGTTCTCGATCCACATACTGCTGGAGTCTAGCTTGTAGGATTTAAGCATAACTTTACTAGCATGTGAAATGAGTGCAATGGTGCGATAGTTTGAACATTCTTTGGCATTGCCTTTCTTTGGAATTGGAATGTAAACTGACCTTTTCCAATCCTGTGGCCACTGTTGAGTTTTCCAAATTTGCTGGCAAATTGAATGTAGCACTTTTACTGCATCGTCTTTTAAGATTTTGAATAGCTCAGCTGGAATACTGTCACCTCCACTAGCTTTGTTGTTGCTCAGATTTCCTAAGGCCCATTTCACTTCACATTCTAGGATGTCTGGCTCGAGGTCAGTGACCATCTCATTGTGGTTATCTGGGACGTTAAGCTCATTCTTGTATAGTTCTTCTGCGTAGTTTTGCCACCTCTTCTTAATCTCTTCTGCCTTTTTTAGATCCCTGCCATTTTGGTCCTTTATCATGCCCTTTATCTTTGCATGAAACGTTCCCTTCATATCTCCAATTTTCTTGAAGAGATCTCTGGTCCTCCCTATTCTGCTGTTTTCTTCTATTTTTTTGGACTGTTCATTTAAGAAGGTATTCTTATCTCTTCTAGCTATTCTCTGGAATTCTGCATTCAGTTGGGTGTATCTTTCTGTTTCTCCTTTGCCTTTCGCTTCCCTTCTTTCCTTAGCTATTTGCAAAGCTTCCTCAGACAGCCATTTTGCTTTCTTGCATTTGTTTTTCTTTGGGATGGTTTTATTTGCTACCTCTTGTACAATGTTGTGAACCTCCGTCCATAGTTCCTCAGGCACTCTATCAGACCTAATTCCTTAAATCTATTTGTCACCTCTACTGTATATTCATCAGGAATATGATTTAGTTCATACCTGAGTGGCCTAGTGCTTTTCCCTACTTTCTTCAATTTAAGCCTAAATTTTGCAACGAGAAGCTCATGATCTGAGCCACAGTCAGCTCCTGGTCTTGTTTTTACTGACTGTATAGAGCTTCTCCATCTTTGGCTGCAGAGCACATAGTCAATCTGATTTCTGTGTTGACCGTCTAGTGATGTCCATGTGTAGAGCCGTCTCTTGGGTTGTTGAAAAAGAGTGTTTGTTATGATCGTCGTATTCTCTTGACAAAATTCTATCAGCCTGTGCCCTGCTTCATTTTGTACACCAAGGCCAAACTTGCCTATTATTCCGGTTATCTTTTGGCTTCCTACCTTAGCATTCCAATCCCCCATGATGATAAGGACATCATTTTTTGGTATTAATTCTATAAGGTGCTGTAGGGCTTCATAGAACCAGTCAATTTCATCCTCTTCAGCACCAGTGGTTGGGGCATAGATTTGGACTACTGTGATATTGAATGGTTTGCCTTGGATTCGAGCTGAAATCATTCTGTCATTTTGGGGATTGTATCCCAGTATTGCTTTTCCTATTCTTTTATTGACTATGAAGGCTACTCCATTTCTTCTGAGGGATTCTTGCCCGCAGTAATATACCTGATGGTCATCTGAGTTAAATTCACCTATTCCTGCCCATTTTAGTTTGCTGATTCCTAAGATATCGATGTTCAGTCTTGTCATCTCTTTTTTGACTACGTCTAGCTTGCCTTGATTCATGGATCTTACATTCCAGGTTCCTATGGAGAAAAAATCTTTACAGCATCGGACTTTCCTTTCACCACCAGATATATCCACAGCTGAGCGTCCTTTCGGCTTTGGCCCAGTCGCTTCATTCTTTCTGGCGCTACTAGTACTAGCCCTCTGCTCTTCCCCAGTAGCATATTGGACACCTTCCGACCTGAGGGGCTCATCTTCCAGTGTCATATCTTTTTCCTTTTAGTACTGTCCATGGGGTTTTCATGGCAAAGATACTGGAGTGGTTTGCCATTTCCTTCTCCAGTGGATCACATTTTGTCAGAACTCTCTGCTATGACCTGTCCGTCTTGGGTGGCCCTGCACGGCATAGCTCATAGCTTCATTGAGTTACGCAAGCCCTTTCGCCACGACAAGGCAGTAATCCATAAAGGGGATAATAATATAATAATATAATAATATAATATAATTATAATATAATATAATATAATTATAATAATATAATATAATATAATAATAATAATAATATAATACAGTATAATATAATTAATATAGTATAGTATAATATAATATAATATAATAATATAATATAATAATATAAGAAGTATGCATGATTCTTACATAGTGCTCCAAGTATCATGCCCACCGAACCAAAATTTGCAAATCCACAAAGCGCGTAAGTGGCAATTGTTTCAGATCGTATCTGAAATAAACCAAAAGACCAATTACTTTCTCTTTGAGAAAGAAAAACTATTTTTAGTTTCTGGTTAATGGCATTTGAACATACAATAAGGGCGTAATGTCTGTGTATGGTTTTGGGTGAGAATAAATTTAGAATTTTCCCATGTCCTCTCCCTCCACTACGAAGAATTACGTATTAGAAGAAGCCAGAAATAGAAATAGAATATTTTCATAGCCTTTATATATTTATCAGATAAAACATCTGGTTCCCATGACTAGATTCCATTATATATATATATGATGCTGAAATAGAGAACTTGAACTTCCAATAAAAAAAATCCAATTTTCCTTTAGGGTTTTTTTTTTTTTTGTAGTCATATTGATGGTTTTCTGATAGTGGCTAGAATTTCTCAAAATGTAGCTAATTTCAACACTGGTATGTCTGAATCCATTAGCAAACACATGTAATACTTTATTGCCAAGGGTTATTTCAGATGTGTCAGCTATTTTGCTGAAATTTCTTAGTAGAAAATGGAACATGCGCATAGTGTGTCAATTCTAATCATGCACACATTTGAATTTTGTGCATATAGATGTCACTCTACATATGGTTTTCAAAAGAATGAGCAGGCTTAGTAGTGCATTTGATATCTTAAAGAAAAAAATCTTTAAAAAAATAAATTGAGAGAAACACAGCTTCCCATTGTGAACAGATCTGCATTATCCTGTGGTCGTGTCTAGGTAAAAAGACTTTGCAAGTTTTTTAAACAATAAGGTGCAAAATATTTTCCTGAATGTTTCCTCCAATTTGACCACACAACTATCATGACTATGGCTAAATTATTCATCAGTGAACAAAATTCCTAATGGACTAGAACTTAGATTAATTAGGGCAGGTTTAATGGCCTAGCAGTTGTATTTCTACAAAATATTAGATTTGGTTAGGGTTGGTGTGTGTGTGTGTGAGAGAGAGAGAGAGAGGGAGGGGGAGGGGGAAGGGGAGGGGGAGGGAGGGAGAAGGAGAGAGAGAGAGAGAGAGAGAGAGAGAGAGAGAGAGAGAGAGAGAGAGAGAGAGAGAGAGAGAGAGACCAAGACTTAGTATGTTGTATCCCAGGCTTAGTATGTTGTATCCCAGGCCATTTACTCAGTATCTGATTCAACATACTGTGTGAATCCAGAAAATGGGTTCTGTTGTGTAAACATGATGAATATTATAGTTTCATTATTTTTTTTTCAAAACTTAATACAGTTTTGTGATTTGGATTTTATAATGCTAGTAGCAAATTTGCTTTCCCCCCAATGAATTCATCTAATAGCGTCATCTTAATTCAAGGACAGCAAATGTATGAGAGCAAATTCTCACTTGTTTTTCCTGCTGTTCTCAATGCACCAGCTGATTACACAATAGTAGAATAAATCAGAATTCTCCTTCTCTTTGACCCCTATTTTACTTTAGTGCTAAAGTTATGTACAGTCATACACCCCCAAATATTCATTTGGGACAATATTATTAAATTCAACCAAGGCATAACTTGGATTATGAACCACAAGAAAATAGTATTACAAAAATATTTATATCAATTGTGGCTTCATATCTGTAGGAACCCATGCCTAACACAGTCACTTTAATTCAGAAATAGGTTCTGGGAAAGTCCACTGGCAAAAATCTGTGAAGTATTAGATCTAATGAAACAGAATTGTACAGGAATACTTACACTCAGGTACTGTTTCACACCATTGATGTACATTTCTCCTCCCTTCTTTCTTAGTTTAATCAAGCTTGCAAGGTGTTCATAAGCCACAAATTCATTGAAGAAAGTCTTGTAACCAAGCAGCCCACCAACAATAAAGCTGTCTTCCCAATCAACTCCCATCATAAAAGAAAATGGCATAAACAAATATGAACAGATTATCTATAAGGGATAAAACAAGAACAAAGAGAAATATGAGCTGTAAACCTTATTGAGCACCTATTGACTTATTGATCACACAAGCAAATTCTGGAGCACTATAAAACCTAGCAGACAACTTTGTCTCCCAAAAAGTAGAGAAGGGAACTAGGGGATTAGCCACATTGGATCTAACTCTCATTATCAGAGATGAAATGATAGAAGGTGTTGAAGCCACAGGAACCTTGGGAAGTCATCATGCAATATTGGAATTCAACATTATGGAAGCACAAGCAATAGAACACAGTCAAACTAGAGCCTTGGACTTTAAGAGAGCTAATTTCAATAAACTTAGAGAGGGCTTGGGAAGGATTCCATGGATGAGAATCCTCAAGGGGAAAACAACTCAAGAAGCTTGGGAAATTTTGAAAAGTGAGATAATAAAAGCCCAGTTTAGCACAATACCAACAAAGAAGAAAAATAACAGCTCTCAAAAGAAACCAGCATGGCTGCATAAAGAACTCTCTGATAAATTGAAATATAAAAAGGACAAGTATAAAAAGTGGAAAGAGGGGCACATAACTAAGGCAGAATATCAGCAAATAGCCTGAGCCTGCAAAGATGAAGTGAGGAAAACTAAGGCTCAAAATGAGCTAAGGCTTGCGACCAAAGTCAAAAATAACAAAGAAAAAAAAGCTTCTTTCAACATGTAAAAAACAAGAAAAAAGTTAAGGAAATGATTGATCCATTAGTGGGGGAAAGTGGCAAGAAGATGACAAGCAACAGGGAGAAAGCAGAACTATTTAACTCATTTTTTTGCATCTGTCTTTACACAAAGGGAAAAAACAGTCCAACCTATCAAAAACAGTGCCATAAAAAACAGAATAGAAACACAAGTTAAGATAGGCAAAAAAATGGTAAGTGAGCACCTGTCCAGCCTAGACCTACACCCCAAGGTTCTCAAGGAACTGGTAGATGTGATCTCAGAACCACTGAACTATATTTTTCAAAGATCCTGGAGCACTGGGGAACTACCAGAGGACTGGAAAAGAACTGATGTAGTTCCCATCTTCAAAAAAGGGGAAAAAATGGATCCAGGAAATTACAGACCTATCAGCCTGACCTCAATACCTGGGAAGATTCTGGAAAAGATAATCAAACAACAAATCAGCAAACACCTAGAGCAGTGATGGCGAACCTTTTAGAGACCGAGTGCCCAAATTGCAACCCAAAATCCACTTATTTATCGCCGGGTGCCAGGTGGGTGTGGCCCACTGGAGGGGTGTGGCTGTGGTCATGGCAGATTGGGTGGGTGTGGCCAAGGTGGGCATGGTCACCTCAATGTTGCTTGTGGGGAGGGATGCCTGTGGGGGGTGGGCAGGGTTGGGGGAGATCCAGGGGGACTCTGGCAAGTGCGGTGGTAGGCAGGAAGCTCGTCCTGTGGGGTGAGGCGAGGCAAGGTGGCTGCTGCCTGACACCATCGGGCCCCGCACACAGAGGCCAGCGAGCGCATGGGGGCCAACGGTGTCCATCAACAGCCACAGCCTGCTGGCCCCTCGACCGGCGCACTCTGGGGCTTCGCAGCCTGCCACCAGCAGTTCAGAGAAGCCGCCTCTGAGCTGGACAGCCGGCCGACAGCTGAGGAGGCGATGCAGTGGGTCGTGCCCGGGAAAAGGAGAGCATGTGAAGCCAGGAGGGACAGGACTGGGGGAGGGAAATCAGCCATGCCAGGTTGTATCCAGCCACGTGGGACCTTGGTGAGTTAGCAGGCGGCTGCTTGAAGAGAAATAGTTGCCATCTCTAGGGCATGGCACGCGTGCCCATCGAGAGGGCTCTGAGTGCCACCTCTGGCACATGTGCCATAGGTTCGCCACCATTGACCTAGTCATTACTAAAGTCATTACTAAAAGCCAACATTGGTTTGTCAAAAACAGATCATGCCAGACAAATCTTATTGCATTCTTTGACCAAGTGACAATCCACTAAGTTTGCTGTGGATATAATTTACCTGGACTTCAGTAAGGCATTTGATAAAGTATATCACAACCTACTACTTGATAAGATAGAAAAATGTGGGTTAGACAGCATCACCACCAGATGGATTCGTAGCTGGTTGATCAGCCATACTTAGTGTGTAATCCTCAATGGAACTACATCTACATGGAGGAAATTGTGTAGTGGGGTGCTCCAGGGCTCTATTCTGGGCCCAGTACTCTTCAACATCTTCATCAACAATTTGGATGAGAGGATAGATGGGGAACTCATCAAATTTGCAGACGACACCAAGCTGGCAGGAATAGCCAACATTCCAGAAGATGGGCTTAAGATACAGGAGGATCTGGACAGACTTGAACACTGGGCGCTCTCTAACAAAATGAAATTCAATGGTAAAAAAGTAAGGTTCTACATTTAGGCAAGAAAAACCAAATGCACAGGTATAGTATAGGTGGTACCTTGCTCAATAGTAGTAACTGTGAGAGGGATCTCAGAGTCCTAGTGGACAATCACTTAAATATGAGCCAGCAGTGTGCTGCAGCTGCCAAAAAAGCCAACACAGTGCTGGCTGCATTAACAGAGGGATAGAATCAAGATCGCGTGAAGTATTAATACCACTTTAGAATGCCTTGGTAAAGCCACACTTGGAATACTGCATCCAGTTTTGGTCACCACGATGTAAAAAAGATGTTGAGACTCTAGAAAGAGTACAGAGAAGAGCAATAAAGATGATTAGGGGACTGGAGGCTAAAACATATAAGGAATGGTTGCTGGAATTGGGTATGTCTAATTTAATGAAGAGAAGGATGAGGGGGGACATGACAGCAGTGTTCCAATATCTCAGGGGCTGCCACAGAGAAGAGGGAGTCAAGCTATTCTTCAAAGTGCCTGAAGGCAGGACAAGAAGCAATGGATGGAAACTAATCAAGGAGAGAAGCAATCTAGAACTAAAGAGAAACTTCCTGACAGTTAGAACAATTAACCAGTGGAAAAACCTGCCTTCAGAAGCTGTGAATGCTCCAACAGTGGAAGTTTTTAAGAAGAGATGGACAGCCATTTGTCTGAAATGGTATAGGGCAGTGGTTCTCAACCTTTCTAATGCCATGACCCCATAATACAGTTCCCTATGTTGTGGTGACCCCCAAGTGGGTGTGGCCACCAATAAGAGGGAGTAGGACAGCTAGGGAAAAGGGAAAAAAATGGTGGACAGTGTGGTTTGGCGACCCCCGTGAAATGGTCATTCGACCCCAAATGGGGTCCCGACCCACAGATTGAGAACCACTGGTATAGGGTTTCCTGCCTGAGCAGGGGGTTGGACTAGATGACCTCCAAGTTCCCTTCCAACTGTATTGTTATTATTATTGTTGTTGTTGCCTAAAATACTTGCCTAAAGTACGCCTAAAATGCCCTGTTACCAGCTAAAACTTTTATCTAGCAGTGTAGTTTCAAGATTAAACAGTCTATTTATTATAGACACTACATCTTAGTCCAGAAAGAGAAAAAAATATAACTAAATAAAAAAGCATTCCCACCCTTTAAATGGCCTTAGGGATTGGTTTAGATCCAAGAATGACATAAAACTATCCCCTATTTTCAGGAGACAGATGATTGAATCTGTAAAATTATACATTGAGTGGAGAGAACGAATAGCAAAATATTATTACATCATTATTATATCACAAGAATACTGTACTATTTGCAATATCATCACATAAAATGGGTTGCCAGAAAAGCCAAACTACACTGTGGAAATCTACATCTCAAACTGAGCTGTTTTAACAAAAATAGTGAAAGAGATCCCAATTTAGAGGGGACAAAAACTTAATTCTTCCCTACCAATTTAGCTTAATTTAACTTTACTTTAATTTAGTCATTCCTATGGGTAAAGTCTTTTCTTTCTTGACTGAGATACCAGATAAGTGTTAACGGTAGATGCAGTCTAGAGCATCCACTGTTAATTTTTATCCTATTGATAGAATGACATTAGATTAATAGATGGGACATATAATTGCCTGGGGCAGTGCCACCCCATCCATCACCAAAAATGGTACCACCCAAAGCGGCATTCACAGCCACTCCATCTTGCTAGGGCTCAGTTTTAACATACTGCTCCCTAACCAGATCTCCGCAACCTCCAGACACCGAGAAAGGGCAGTCATAGCATCACTTAACACACCACATTCTTGAAAACCTCAAAATCTGCTTCGGTAGATGAAAGGAATTATTTTCTTTCAAACTGGCTAATAGGAAATACCCACTAAATTCGTTCATAGCCTTTTGCTCAAGGGTAAAATGATTTGATATTTCTGAGTCAGTGGGGAAAAAATTAATCTGGCCGTTAAATAGGCATTAAAAACTTATGCAGGAAAATAAAATCTGTAATGTGGCTTGGGCTGAGGAATGAGGGTTCAATTCTCTTTCTGCCCTACCTGGAGTCTGTGGATTGGGGTGGAACATTTTCAAATGAATATTCAAACTGAGGCAGAAAGGCAGGAAGAAGAAGCCATGTTTTAACTAATTAGGATCTCTTTGCCTATCAGGCAATTGGGGCCACTCTCAACAAGGTTGAATATTGTGCTCAAAAAGTATTTGTGTTCCCTTTATGCTCCATTAGAAAGCAAAAAAAAAAAAAAAAATCTCTTGGGAAACTGTCCAGGCCAGCTGTATCCCTTTTGTTTACTGCATTAAAAACCTCCTTACTGAGTGCTTTTATAAATGGTCCCTTGTACAGTAGCTAGATAGATGAAGCATCATTAGATTGTTAAGCAATCCATTACTCTTTTCTTTAACTGCATCAGAACTGCGGCTGCTTCCAAGGTAAGCATCTGCACCTAGCTTGCCATATTTTTCTTCTTTTTGCTCTCAATGGGAATTGAACTCCTTTCCTTTTTTTTTTGCCATTCTAAATGTTTTCCCCATCCATTTATAATTTCCACGGTACCATATGTTACATTAAGTGGAAGCACTTTAATGCAGAAGGTTCTGCATTCACGCATGTCCTAATAATACATAAATAATTGGCTCAACCTGTAATGAATTAATTCTGCCCTTTTCCTCCATGTGATCATTTCCCTTTTTATTTATTTATGGTTGCATTTTAGACCCATCTGCTCATAGTACATAGTTAAAGCAGGACAGTCATCTAGTTTTTTTTTCCCTTGCTTTCCATCTGATGATTTCTTGCTCATTGTGAATATGTTAACTGATTGTCTAGATTAATGAGCAGTTTTTTCTAGGTTTGTTCAACGGAGGTACACCTGATTTTTCATGGGTTTTGAGCAATTATATGGGGATCACAGGTGGAGTTAGGTTTTATTTCATGTACATGTAAATTTAATTAAACGTATGTTTAATTAATACAATTCCATTCTACCTATATATTTAAAATTGGTATCCTTATATAACTTAAAAAAGGTAAGTTTGGTAACAACTTTAATTATATGATTCTGTAAGCTTAATCATAATAATGATTAAATCAAATGATTGTATAAACCTGTGGAGGTTACTGGGCTGTGACATTGAAGTCTCAAGTTGTGCACCCAATTTTCATGCAATGATCTGGGGATATTAACCAAACATGATACATAGAAGTACAGTAGTGCCTTTATTGGTAAACTGTAACACAAACAGAATTTGTGTGACTTATTTGTCATGACCACCTGGAAACAAGCAGAATTTTTTTCTTTAAGATCTACAGATAGTCTTTGACTTACAACTATTTGTTTAGTGATTGTTCAAAGTTACAATGGCACTGAAAAAAGTGACTATAACTGTTTTTCACACTTATGACTGTTGTAGCATTCCCACGGTCACGTGATCAAAATTAGGATGCTTGGCAATGGGCATGTATTTAGGATGGCTGCAGTGTCCTGGGGTCATGTAATCACCTTTTGCGACTTTCTGACAAGCAAGGTCAATAGGGAAGCCAGATTCACTTAACAACCATATTACTATCTTAATATTGCAGTGATTCACTTAACAGCTGTGTCAAGAAAGGTTGTAAAATGGGGCAAAACTCACTTAACAACTGCCTCGCTTAGCAACAGAAATTTTTGGCTCAGTTGAGTGCATACATTGAGGACTACCTGTATGTGTGTCTCTGTGTGTGTATACACCACACACACATTTGCCTTTTTCATGTCCCATTCATTATTTGGATCTCAGCAGTAGAAAATTAAAACACAAGCCAAATGCACTCACTACATGATTCTTGGCATGTAAATGCCATGAAGTAGCCATTTACTCCCCTGTAATTTGCACATTGGACTCCTTACCAGTAGTTTGTAGTTTGTATAACATTTAATTAATCATTGTGCCTGACTTTTTTTTGATGGTTGATTTATCTTTTCAGCTGCCACTCCTTCCTGCTTCCATGCAAGGAAATCCAGAATTAGTCACACAGGAGCACAGACATCTTTCTACCTTTCACACAAAAACCCTATTTTTAATATCACAACAACAAAGACTTTTTTTGCAGACTCTCTGTTACAGAAAAGTGCCTGGTGAAATACTTCAGTATTCAGAAGAGTGCCTTCTTCTAATAATTCATAGCAGACAGTAGATACATCAGTGCAAGGAAACACAAATATCTTGAGATAGGGATATCCTACGTTGACAACTTTAAGACTTGTGGACTTCAACTCCCAAAATTCCCCAGCCAGCCATGCTGGTTGTTGAAGTCCATATGTCTTAAAGTTGCCAAGATTGAACAACCCTGCCTTAAGGCATAATCTACAACTTCAGATATCCTCTTAATAGTAGGCTGAAGTGAAGTCTAGGCTACATCTCCCATACCCCTTGCTTGAGCTAACAGCTGATAGGACAATACCTCAAAGCTTAGTTGTGGGTAGTCAAACATGTTCCCCAGCCAAGACAGGACTGCATTAAAGAAGGCCAATAAAGCAAGGAAGGCAATCAGATTCACAGCAATGTTGGCTACCAGGGGGATGGCAGCAGTGGCACCTTGGCTGGCAGCTTCCAACAGGTTCCTAGCTTCTCTTCAGCAGCAAAAGAAAAGGTGCACATGAATGTGACATTTGTATGGCTCAAAGTGCAAACGTAGACAACCAAACAGTCAAAATAATTTTTCTCCTACAATAACAGTATTCATCCTTTTTAAAATATCAGGAGGGCCAGCAACCAGAATAATATTCAAAGCAATATTTAATATTGTTAATAATTCTGACACTGAGAGAAACTTTTGTGAATGTAAAAAGCACTTATGAGGGCTTAAAACAGGAATGCAGATCTTTAGCTTCTGTTGATCCTACAGTGAGGGGAACAGAATAAATAACCTCAAGCAGCTGTTAATTAATTTAATGTTTATTAATAATTGATTATCATTAATTATTAGATGCTGATGAATTATTTGATCATATTCATTGCCTGTGAATTAGGAGGTGAATCATATTTGTGCTAAGTATGTCTATGGCTACCAGAGAGCTGAAATGGCCAGTTCTATTTTCCCTTATTTAAGTTCTTAAGATTATGAGAGTTATGAACTTTAATTCTTTCTGACTGATGCTTTGTGTTTTCAAATGGCTTTGTGAAAACTAGCAATTCAGCAGCTGCACCTTTTTCTTCTTACAGGTGGGCACTAATGGGAACAAATTTGTTGATATTTGAGCCTCTGTCTGAGGTAGCAAGATCTCAATGGCATGGGAATAATGGCAATATTATCTAAGTAAGTTCTTTTCATTACAGATGACTTTGCTCAAATCAATCAAAAGTAAATTTGTGTTCCCCAGGTATGTTTCTTCTAGTTTCAGTTAATTGAATAGTCCATAGATGAGCATCTATCTCTATGGTTTTTCAAAGTGTTATTAAGTCCAGCAGCCATGAAAATATAACATGAACCTATAAATTGCTTACCCTTTTTCCATTTTTGTATCCTGTTGGGCATTTATCTGGGGATTTTCAGTCTCAGGCCAGAAGAGTTTAGCAATAGCTAAAGCTGCTGGTGCTGACATCACGGAAGCAGTTAATAAATGGGAAGCTGAAACCTGACAAATGAAAATGAATTATTTTTTTATGTTAGGACAGTGTTATTCAATCTCAGCGACTTCAAGTCAGTGTGGGCTTTACTTCCCAGAATTTCCCAGTCAGTATGCTTTAGAGATGAGTTGAAAAAAAAAAAGTTTTAGAAGCTGTAATAAAATATATTGGAATATTGGAATAATATGAAAAAATCGAGGCCAGCAGCATTTTAAAGAACAGGCAGGATTTTGTATGAGAAAGGGGAATTTTAACTAGAGAAAGAAGTCTAGAAAGCTTTGAAAATCATAGACATCAAAAGCAAATTCAGTAACCACAGTGTCAACTCTCAGTAGCAAAAAGACATCACCCTGATATAATAGAGTGGTATCATTAGGTTTAGGGTAGCTTCAAGAAATGAGGAAATACAAAAAGAAAAGAAAAGAAAAGAAAAGGAAAAGAAAGAAAGAAAGAAAGAAAGAAAAAGATCCCTAATGAGGCAAAACAGCTAATGAAAACGAATCAAGTTTAACACCACAAACTCCTGACTACAAACAAGATAAAATAATCATTATCAATTACTGTGCTTCCATTTTTACCCCAAAGGAAATATATGCTCCTAAAACACTTCCAGCAATGGTGGCAAATCCCGCTGTCATGATAGCATGGAGTTCAGACTTGGTAACATAGGGCAGATATGGCTTTACCATGAGAGGAGACTCCGACTGCAAGAAAAAGAAATCAAGTAAGTGGATTTTACTTATATCTTCCTCTTATATTTTAGAATGGTCTGTCATGCCCCCATGCCACAGGTTATTGTCAAGTGCAAAGGATCAGGGCCACATGTGAAGTTGCAGTACAGAAGATTTATTATTCAAGCCTATTGACAAGAAAATGCAGTCAACTAACAGTCAGCATTAAACTGGCACTAGATAAAGGTCAACAAATTCAAGGGGGGCTGGACTTTAGTCACTTGTGGCAATGTAAGGACTCTTAACTGATGATCTGTTTAACTCCAGCCCCCAGCTCTGCCTGCTTTTTTCCTACAGATATGATTCAGGACAGTGGTCCCCAACCTTTCCAGCCCTGTGGACTGTCAGTGTGTATGGAGGAAGGGGATGGTTTCATGCACAGGCACTCTGCTCGTGCAAATGGAACTTCCTTTGCTTGCGTGGCCTTGTTGTCCAGTTGATTGGGGTTTGGGATCCCTGAATTCATGAAGTAAATTTTACATGGATGACAGCAAGGAGTTTTAATGCAAAGAATTAGGGATAAAGATCAGAATCTCGGAAACTTAATAGAACCCTCCAGCCCTCATTTATTAGTGTAAAGGAATACACTAATTAGTCTAAAGGAATACACTTGTAAAGGAAGAATCTTTTTGAACATTTTGAATGCCTTCTTCCTTGGCTTTTTGCAGTTTGAACTGGGGTCATTCTTCTGGTTAAAAAGGGTCAAAAGATAGAATTGTATAGGTTTTTTTGTTTTAGGAGGAAATCTTGACAGAAAATATGTGCCTATTTTGGACACTGTTGCATGAATTTATGGTGTCCTTTCTCATATAATCTAATGCAAATCCAGATCTGAATGTTAGGCTAATGCAAAAGCATGAACCTGCAATGTTCTTGCATATCAGGCAACATCTCTGCTCTACGAGGAAATCAATAACCAATTTATCTTGCTTCTGAGTTTTCTGGAATCATGAGAAACAAACAAGAAAATTTTTTTTACTGCCCCATGTAAGAATGTCTACTCTGCCAAGGCAATAAAATTGTTGACCTATTATTAGAAATGCTGAACCTTCCTTCGTATCTAGGACTTAAATATTTGTACTGCTTTGTCTCTTGGGAGTTGTGCAATGGCATTTTAAATGGATGATTTCCATGGCTGTTAATACCTACCCAGGTGTTTGTCCTCTGTCTAATAGCTTACTTCTCTGCCTCACAAACTTACCATTCCCACAAATATATTGCCAGCTGCAACTAAAGATTCTACTGGACTTGTCTGTAAGGTAATTTGCACGATCCATCCAACCTATGAAAGTTACAATGCACAAAATTAATCTTTTGGCCATTTTCAAGCTGCTTCATGTACATAGAATACAACAAACAACTTTAACTGAGTTAAAGTACATGTGTAAACTCTGTAAGGAATTCTCCCATGTCCGCAATTTTCTTTAGGAGGCTCTTTGGAATACGCCAAATATATGCCAATTTCTTACAATACTTGAATCCCTAGCTGAGTCAGGTCTGCCAGGGTAGAATCATTGCCAGGGGCATCCATGCGTATCTTAATTAGACAAAATGTTATAAACTGGAACATATCAAGCCACTTTGAGCTTTTATAATGAATCTACGAATAAATCAGTTTAATCTGCTACATTGGCACAGGCTACATAAAGTCTAAATTACAGAATTTGCATAAGACTAACAGAGCTTGGATAGCATAAGTTGTACAGTTTATGAATACTCTGGCAGAATTACAGGGACCTACATCTTCCAGTCTCCCCAGAAACCGGGAATTTCACCACAGCTCCATTGCAGGATCAGGCTAACATAATTCTACCGTTCTACCAATTCTACCTGCTTTTTTTCCCCTCTCCAACTTGTCCAAAAATGTAACTTACCAAACAAAAGGATGCAACTTTTAATAACCATAATCTTCCTATATTTGCTGAACAGTTTAGATAGCTGTTTGTCATTATAGACTAAATGTTAAACTATTTCGACTGGAAGAATTTCAGAGAATAGAAGGCAATGAAATAGTAGATGTGGGAATGAAATCAAGGCATTTGGATGATCTAGTAGGCTTTTTAATGTGGATAATTATACAATATAGACCTAAGGCAGCATTTAAAACAGAATCAACTCAAAGTTGAACCAGTGGCTACATATTATCAGGGTAAGATTTGAGAGATGGGAAGGCTCTTCTTCTCCCAAAATTCTTTCTACAGCCCTCCAGCAATGTTTCTTTCAATGAAAAGAGAGACGGAATCATATGGGAAGGATATAATCATTTCCAGTTCCCTTCCATGAGAATAATTCAACTTTTCTTTGGAGGAGACCTAGATCTAGCCCTTGGGCTGGAATTTTGTAATGCAGGGCTAAGGTCATAACAAGATGAAATCCTAGTATTGGATCTAGAAACTGATAAAGAGATGGTGATATCCTGAAAAGATTGGTATTTATTCATAAAGTATCTGCTCTTTTATCTTACACATTATATCGTTTTATTGCAATTTGAAGTTTTATTGTGTCAGATGAAAGGAAGAAATTATATTCTAGAAGCGACAGTTAGTGATAGACTTTGTTTACATATTCAGACCTTCCCTGAGACATTCTTCAGACCGATGTTTCTTAACTTTGGACTACAACTCCCAGTCAGCATGCTGGTCAGTACAGATAATCTCCAACTTACAACAGTTCATTTAGTGAAGTTACAACAGCACTGAAAAAAATGACTTATGACCAGTTTTCACATTTACAACCATTGCAGCATCCCTGTGGTCACATAATCATACTTCAGATGCGTGGCAACTGCTTCATATTTATGATGGTTGCAGTGTCCCAGGGTCACGTGATCTCCTTGTGTAGCCTTCTGACAAGCAAAGTCAATGGGGAAGTCAGATTCACTTAACAACCGTGCTACTACATTAACAACTGCAGTGATTCGCTTAACAACTGTGGCAAGAAAGATCGCAAAACGGGACAAAACTCTTTTAACAATTGTCTCACTTAGCAACATAAATTTTGGGCTCAATTGTGGTTGCAAGTTGAGGACTATCTGCATGGAAAATGGAATTTTACTTATTATCAGATTTCACAGACAATCAATCTACTCTTCCCTAAATCCCACATTTAATGTCTAGTTAATGGAAGAAGCTGCATAGACTCATCATTGTGAAGTAATTTCCCCTCTTATACATGCACGCACGTGCACACATACGCGCGTGCACACACACACACACACACACACACACACTCACCTGTGAGTCTCAGCTTTTGAATCCTAAGCCTTCCCTCTGACCTTAATCAAAGATCATTCTTTGCTCAACCAATTGAAAGGTACCTACTCAGATTTTTCACACTGGTTCTGTTTGATCTGAGGACCTCTGCTCCCACCCTTGCCAGCTTTAACCCTTATACCCACTCAATATACTGGGAGTGATGAGCTCAAGACATATAGAATACTTCAGGTTAAATAAAGTTATTTTATGATAGTTTACAAGATGCATTAGATTTAGGGGAAAAGTGCTACATACTTTTTTAAAAGAGAAAAGGAAATTTTAAAAAACAATCTGATCCATGTACTGCATATGCTTCTATAATTATAAAAGACAAATTATAATTTTATAACTGGAGACAAATTCCTTGTGTGTCCAATTACATGTGGCCAATAAAGAATTCTATTCTATTCTATTCTATTCTATTCTATTCTATTCTATTCTATTCTATTCTATTCTATTCTATTCTATTCTATTCTATTCTAGTCTAGTCTAGTCTAGACTAGTCTAGTCTAGTCTAGTCTAGTCTAGTCTAGTCTATTTATTTATTTATTTATTTAATTTTATTTATATGCCGCCCAATCCCAAAGGACTCAGGGCGGCGTACAAAATTAAAACAATCATCAATAATAAAACAATAAAATAATACAATCATACAGCATGTCCGATCATATCCCGGCCCCCACCGGGGACATCAGCCCCAGGCCTGCCAGAACAGGAGAGTTTTAACGGCTTTCTTAAAGGCCAGCAGGGTGGGAGTAGTTCGAACCTCGGGGGGAAGTTGATTCCACCAGGTCGGAGCCACCACAGAAAAGGCCCTTCCCCGAGGGCCCGCCAGCCGACATTGTCTGGCCGACAGGACCTGAAGGAGATCCAATCTACGGGACCTCACCTAGTCTAGTCTAGTCTAGTCTAGTCTAGTCTAGTCTAGTCTAGTCTAGTCTAGTCTATTATTGTGATGCTTCTCAAAGTACCCAGAGCACTGTTACCTTTTTAATAAGCCACTGCATGAATCCGACATGGTATAGCACAGACATCACTGTACTGAAGAAAATAATAATAGGCAGCACCTAGTTGAAGACAAAACATCTATTGTTAAAAACTGTTTCCAAGTTATCTAAATGCTTTCCTATGTTATAAAGCTCAAACAGACCAACTCTAACATACTGTACCATCAATCTTGTAATCAAAGACTAATAATTTGTCAGTGTTCATAGGCCGAAATAAATTAAAATAATACATTCCAGAAGCATGCTTGTCTTGCCAAGATGCCTGGAGAAGGAACTCCTGAATGCCACACACACAAAAAGAGCAGCTATGCTTTATTTCTTTAAAAAAACCATGATTTTATTGAAACTTTTAAAGAAGAAAATAAAAACCAATCAGAATAATGTGACATAAGGAGGAAAAGAAGAAGAAATAAAAGAGAAAGCAAAAAGTACAAGAAAAGAATCAGGGAGTCCAGATGCCCCTCAGTCTACCTGGTTCCCCAACTCCTGCTTTAAAATGGATTTAGTCAACTGAGAGCAAAAAAATTTGCTGATTAATCATATTTGTTGCTGTAAGCAAATGCTGTTCTATCCTCTTTAAAACTGGTCTTTTTCAGGTTCATTATTTTGGTCAGCATATCATAGTACTTCAGACAATGCCAAATAATACTTCTCTCATCAAAGAACTGGCTGAAACTGACTGGTACTTTAAACAGGAATATTTCTTTTAGGGAAATATTGTACACACAAAACGTTCTTTGTTTTACTGATTCATTTTGTAAACTTACCCACTATAACTTTGTCAGTGTAAGCCAGGTACAACAAAAACAATGCCTATTTACCTTGAAGGCAAAGAAGTGATCAGTATATTTTTCACCAAACACGAATTTAGCACCAGCATCGGTATATCCCAAGAAAATCTTAAAGGGAAGAGAAAAAGGAAGAATAAGTTGTTTTAAGGGGGAAAAAACCCCTCAATTATTCTAATCCAATTTTTTAAAGACTCATATTTCTCAAGTATTCAACCAATCATTATAAGTTTAATGTTCAAGTAGTGAATTGTATGACCAGTGCTTTTTTTCTAAAAAAAAAAAAAAAGGTGCCGGAACTCACACATGTCATATAACCCACCTTGCCTACCCTACAAGATTGCATCCAAAAAAGGTGCCGGAACTCCGTTCTGGGCGTTCTATGAGAAAAAAAAGCCCTGTGTATGACTCACTAGGTGAGGTCAATTGAAAATAAGAACTAGTGAATCATGAACTCTTGAATCAAGGGAAAGTCAAGGTAGTCTTGAAAGACTTAAATCAGGGTAAAGGAAGTATAAGTTCCTCTTTGATTTAAGACATTGTCAAAAGCTGGATGTGAGGCACCTCACCACACAGGTAACTTTCTGTTCTTAAATGGAAATTAAGATTGCTGTCTTCATTTTCATACAGACCACTCACTGCAAAAAAAACAACAGATCCCAGGACTGAAAGACAAACTTTTCAGAGTTCCAAGTTAAGCAAAACAATGAGCACTGTGGGAGTGGTAGTATCTTTCTTCTTCCTGGTTTGTAGCTGCTGACCTAGCTTTGTTTATCATCACACAGGATTAGTATCTCTGCACCCCACACTTCTAATGCTACAAGGAATTCTAATTGCTTCCTCCTGCCAAACTCAAGATAAAAGGTAAAAAGAAATGTTGCTAGGTCTCAAGGAAATTCAGAGATTTGTGTTTGTGACTGATCTGTGGTCACAGTCCATGTACGCTGCGATTTCACAAAGAAAGAAAAGCAATACATTATTCTAGGATAATTATTCCTGGGACTTAAAACTAAAGGGGGGGGGGACATATAAATGCTGCAGCGTTCTTCTATAATAAAAATGTGAACCCTCAAACTAATTCTGAATTTCAAAAACCAAAACTAACAAGGAAACATGCCAGTTTAATAATGATCTCAGTGAAATGAAACTTGGAGACTTTATACTTCTAACCTTTGGGGATGTTAATGGCAGAAACATTTTATAAATTGTGCAGATAAATGCAAATCTGCAAGGGAAACATTTTGGGATTGTTTAGAAACAAAGGGCACTTACTCGGGAAATTTATTTATTTATTTGTCAATCACATTTCTTATGTGAAACTCTGGGTGGGTTTCCAATGGTAGTAGAAGAATATTTAAAAGGAAAGACTGTATTTAAAAATGCTTCACTGACAGTTACAGGTGCTACTTGTATTGACATGGGGCAGAGGAAGAAAATTATGTGGTTGTATCTTGCTACAGTGCAACAGTATTGTAATGCTAAAATGCTAAAATGATTAAGATTTCTTTGGAGATTTTCCCCTTCTTTTAGGTACCCCATTTCTAACAGAATGGTTATGAAAGATGAAAATTTGGAAGGCAACGGATTGTGACAAACTGCACGAACCAGCCCATTTAAATAGTTAATGTATGTTATTTGCCTGCAGAAGTCCACTACCAAATCATGATTTCAAAGGATGCAGAACTTAGTCCCAAAGGTGCTTTAGGGGGAGGCCACTAGACTTTCTTGTTTTTCTTTGAAGATGTTTCACTTCTCATCCAAGAAGCTTCTTCAGCTCTGACTGGATGATGGGGAATAGAAGGATTTATATTAAGGAATATAAATCTTTCCATTCCCTACCATCCAATCAGAGCTGAGGAAGCTTCTTGGATGGGAAGCAAAACATCTTCAAAGAAAAAACAAGAAAGCCCAGTTGCCTCCTGAAAAAGCACCTTTGGGACAACCATGACCTGGATGACTGAGAATAGACAGGCAGAACTTAGGTTAAAGATAAATTAATGTGGTTTTTCAAATCCTCTGTTTTTGCCTCAGGTATACTTAAGACTTCTTTTTTTTGCTGCTTCTACAATCAACAATATTTCCTTGTTACTTGGCAAGGAAGAGAACATTTTTTTTCTGCTCTTAGTGTTCATGCTCAGGTCCTCCACCCTTGGCATGAATAGGTTCCAATGACTGCTTTTTTCTTCTGTGACTGTGTGACACTCTATCATTTCCAGTTCAGAGCTTATGCAACTTAAAAGTTTCTACAGCTTTTCCAGTTTTTCCTTTTATCCCAGTCCAATTTTTGACATGGATCAGATGTGGCATACCTCACTGATGATGCAGCCACTGACAGAATCAGTGCTTAAGATCTGCAAAGCAATTTTGGCCATTTTATACTATTGCAAGGAATACTTTCTTTCTGGTTACTGGCAACTGTCTTGACTATTTTGTGCTGTAGGAAAGACCGATTTCTATAAAGGCCTCTGTCCAAGTAATGCTTGACTGGCACTTTTCAAAGCGCTTGTCAGATCTTAGGGAGAGTTTTTAACACAGAAGGAGTGCTAGACTTAGGTTTGAAAACAGTTCTACTGCTATGTTGCTAATCCTTGTTAGAGATGTCTGCTGACCAGGTGTTTTGCTTGGCTATATTGTCATTGTTTTTATTACTTTGGCAATGGTGGGTGAGGGGGATACTACCATCTTCTCTATTCCATTCCAGTGCTGATGCCAAGAGCTGTGGTGGTGCAGTGGTTAGAATGCAGTACTGCAGGCTAATTCTGCTGACTGCCAGGGGTTCAGTCCTCACCGGCTTAAGGTTGACTCAGCCATTCTTCTGAGGTCAGTAAAATGAGGACCCAATGAGGACCCAAATGAGGACCAATTATTGGTGATTAGTGAGGGGGGATATCAAACTGGGAGATTCACCAATTGACTTCCTTAATATGTCCCACATTGAAATACTAAGGACAGCATAATTTCTGGCTTTGTTTCTGTGGCAGATCAACAATGTGGGAAGTACAATTCATGCTGGAACATTTTTCTACTGGCTGGAGAACTGGAGGATACTGTAACAGTGTAACCCAATAGCATTGGGTTGGACTTTTAGATATTAAACAGAACAATGTTTGGCTAATAACACTGGATTTTTCAAGTGAATGTGGCCCAATCAATGTGTTTAGTTGTGAGAAACTATAGGAAGAACAACACAGTCCAGACATAAGAGCCATGGGAAGCAAATCTTCTCTTACAGTTGTCAACCCACATTATGAATATGTTTATGAAATCTGTGTGATTCTTACTTGTTTGGTTTGCCAGCTATGCATCATGTTGTTTTAGCTTAATGCTATCTGTGAACTCAGCCAAATATGGTTTCTTAAGTAAACCATCACTTACCCAGAAGGCAAGCTCAGCTTTAAGTGGTGACTGAAAATGCTCTTTTACAAACTCTGTGGCTTTAAATTGATTAAAGAAGGGGACTGCTCTTTTAGAATATTTCTTTATGAAGATAAAGTCTGCTCACCTGTATCCTTTTTAAGATTAAAAAATATTGTTTTTAAAATTGCATTTCTTTATAGTGATTTTTCTGTATGCAGCATTAACTATTTTATAATTTAAGATGCACAGTCAAATCAAATTTCCTATTGTAGGTTAATTGTAAGCAAATCCCTTTAATTTAGTGAAACCTGGTCACAAGTGAGGACAAATCAGATTATTTCCTAATTTTTGAAGCAGACAATTGCCTTAACCTTTCTTGGGAATGAGTCCTTATGAAATCAGAATTCAAAATTTAATTGTAAGTGAACATGCACAGGAATGAGGTATTAGCAAAATATTATAGCTGCTATTTTACTCGATCAGATCAATTGTCTATCTAGTCTAAAATTATTTAGCTTGACTTCTAAAAAAATTCATCAGCATTTCAAGAAATGCTACTTATTAAAGATGCGTTAAGCCAATGGTGGCGAACCTATGGCACTGGTGCCAGAGGCGGCACTCAGAGCCCTCTCTGTGGGCACGCGCACTGTCACCCCAGTCCTAGGCCTTCATCTGGGTTTTATAAAACCTTTTCGCTTTAGGCCTCTGCCGACATGTGCAAAAAAAAAAAAAAAAAAAGTTCAATCAGTCAATTTCAACTTCTCGCAGGAAAAAAAAAAACATATTGCAAAGTTGGAATTGATTGATTGAACTTTTTAGTCCCACCCAGTCTGCCATTACCACTGCAGCCATGCCCATCCAATGGGCCACACTCACCTGGCACTCGACAATGCATAAGTGGGTTTTTGGTTGCAGTTTGGGCACTCAGTCTCTAAAAGGTTCGCCATCACTGCTTTAAGCCAAGGCATGAATGACCAAGTTAAAAAATGCAGCACCACGGTACACCTCCTAAGCACCCTTCCATAGGCATAAACTGATCACTTGTCAGAAAGATTAAGAATTTATTCAACACTTTATTCAACACTTACCTGCACTTGATTACCAAGCCAGTGGAATGCATCAAATCCTAGTTTGGTCCTCAAGGTTATAAGTCCAAGAACAAACTGCATTGCAACTCCCCAGATTACTGGCCTCCATACAACCTATGGATACATAAAGCAAAACAGAACTATCAGATTTAAAATCAGCTCAAATTTGACAATATTGCACCGAATACTGTAGTAAATGCAGATGGAGATTCCAAAGAAGTGACATATTTCTTCCAAATACATAAATGTTTACAAAAGAAGGGGAGATTTTTTAAAAATAATAATAATTACACTACATTTAAAAGTAAGGCAGAAAAGTTATGCATGTTTGATTTCTTCCAGCCACTTTACCCAATCTGGTTGCTTTTCAAACAAGTGAGCTTCAATGCCAACATTCTTGATAAAGGCCCTGCTGGCTAAGGAATTTTGGGAACCGATCCATACTTCTGGAAAGTACTGGATAAATTACATTATAGTTTTTAATATCTTGGCAGAGAGTAAAGCTCAATGGCCTGGAATTCTGGGTAAAAAGTTTTGCAATAAAAGATACGAATACACTGCAATGTTTGTTGTAGATTTCACTTGTTCAGTATACAATCACTCCAAGAGTGAGATGGTTGTATCTAAATTTGATAATAAATAAATATCTAGTGTCACTTATCGACCACGGTTGAGACTGCCAACCCTGCCGCTAAGTGGTGTAGTCATTAAGTGAAAAAATCTTGTCACCACATCAAGTTACATCAGTCCTGATTGTGGTTGTTAATCACCATGGGTTATTAAATGCAACTTCCTCATTGACTTTGCTGGTTAGAGCTGGCTGTGAAGCAGCAGGCATATGGCGATCACATGATTGTGAGACATTGCAACTATCGTAAATGAGTGCTGGTTGCATAATGCCTGAATCATGATCTGTGGGGATGCAACTTTTAGGACCAGACATAAATCTCCTTTTTCAGCATCCTTGTAACTTCAAACGGTTACTGGTTTTCCATGGTTTTCTACCTCTATCCCCTATACAAGCCAACCCAGCTTTCAAATGAATAGCATTATATGAAGTTCTATCTTTGTTCTTTGTAACTGTCACAAAATTGGCCAGACGGGACAAGGAAGACTAATGGAAAAATATATTGTGGATGAAGAGCTCATAAATGTTCCTTTTTCTTAAGGAAGAGTAAGCAGATTTTGGATAAAACATCAGTTTAGTCAGCTGTTATCAGAATTAGTTTCTCTGGGATACCCCTTGATATACACCCTATTGCTGAGCTAGAAAGTAACTTGTTTAAGGGCTTTGAAAGCAGCTGACTGAAATCTGGTGAACTAGGAAGTGAACATGAATATTAGTTAAAGAAAAGCTATGACTTAGTTATGAAAGCCGAGACAGAAAAACTAAACTGGATTTTCTGGTAATAAAACCACATTCTTCTCATTTTATGTAGTATAGGTGATTTAGAACAGATACTCATTTTGTTCAAAAAGGAAAAGCAATAAAAAAAGCAAGTAAGATGGGACTTTGTTAAATATACTGGGTTAGCATTTCTGCATGTACTGGCAAATCTTCACAATTTTTGTGCTTTCTCTTTGTTTGTCTCATAATAAGGTTGTTACTTGTTCACCACTGCATAGGAAGGGACTGCATAAGCCAGAATGAGATACAGATTTGCCCTCTATTCGGATATGCTAATTTAAATGGGCAGGTGCCAGATTAAAAATGAAAAACATTATAACAAATAAACAAATCTCAGTCTGGCAGAGGGAAGTGTGACCAAAGGACCTCTGCTTCTATTATGTTCTCCATTACTATTGATGGGCAATTTAAAATGGCTCTTGGTCTTATGGCTCTTGTCAGACACAAAGAACCAGGATCATTCATTGAGTTCAAGCATAGATGATTTATTATTCCAGCCTATTCACAAGAATCTGGTCAAATAAGGGTCAGCACTAGGTTGGTGCTTGATAAAGGTCAATGGAATTCAAGGGGAGGGTTGGACTTGTGTTTCTTGTGGGAACGCAAAGACTCTAAACTGATGATGCATTTAACTCCGCCTTCCAGTTCTGCCTGCTCTTCTGCTGCAGCTCTTTATTTTGAAATGGATTTGGACTAGCAGCCCTTTAAACGGAGAGGGTTTTGTGTTACTGACATTTATCAGCAAATTGATGAACACTAATTGCATTTTTTCTGCCAGTTTCTAACAAGATACAAAAAAAAAAAAAAAAATGAAGTATACAAGACTTCAGATAGACTTAGCCAGCTTGGGCCGTCCCTGAAAAAAACAGTGAATTGTTGTGCAATGTAACAAGATCATTGTCTCTCTTCTGAAATAAAGAATGCCTTCAAATACAGAATTATCCAGCATGAAGTAGGATATGTAACCAACATATCTCTAAAGTTAGGCTGTACATTCCAGGATCAAATATATAATTTTCTGCTGGAATCGCTGAGTCATCTACTTAGCCGCCCAATCTTAAAAAAAATTCAGCAATTCTTCATGGATGCTATCCAGCTTCCAACAAAGCTTTGGATCAGAGCGATAACTTTTTAAAAACTGGTCTAGGCTTGGTCATAGTAGAATAAGAATTAGAATCAAAACTAAAGTTTCTATTTTATATATTCCTTCCTACCAAGACTTACCTTGAGAATGATTCATGTAAAAAGAACAGCTTTAAAAACATGATATATATATATATATATATATATATATATATATATATATATATATATATGTAGGTCTTTGGTTGTTCGGGTTTTCTCCCACATAAAATTGGAAGTGTCTTGGCGACGTTTCGACGAAGTCCCATTCGTCATCTTCAGGCTGGTGCTTTCAGCTTCGTGCCTCGAGCAGCAATGTGTGGTCTTAGCTGTTTCTTCCTTTTAACTGCCAGTGGGGATATGAACTGATTGGATGGGAGCTTGGCTGTGTTCTGATTGGGTGGAGGTGTGTTCTGATTGGTTAGGGGCGTGGCTGTGCTCTGATTGGCTGGGGGGTTGACTGTGCTCTGATTGGCTGGGGGGTTGGCTGTGCTCTGATTGGCTGGGGGAGTGTTCTGTTTGGTTGTGCTCAGGTTAGTCTGAGTTGCAGAGGGATTCAAGATTTTGGGCTGCCCTGCCATTCCTTGGCTTCGCGTTCATGGTCGTGCTTCCTCTTCATGGAGGGTGTCAGTTTGCTTCATGTATGGATTGGGGGGGTTTAAAGTGGCTAATGATGCAGCTGTGGTCTGGCTTCTGGTTTGTGGTCGTGCCTCATAGTCAGTGTGGCTTTGGGTTTGTTTTTTGCGTGGATGTGTGGTGGTGACATCCTGTGTGGTTTTTGTGAGTGTGGGTCTGGTATCATTTTTTGTGTTAGGGAGTCGTTTGTCAATAAGGGCGGGTTTCCAAATGGCTGGTAGGCGGGAGGTATCATCTCGCTTGTTCATGCTGTGTGGGCGTTTTTCTATCTCGATGGCTTCTCTGATTATTCTGTTATTAAAATGTTCACTTTTGGCAATGGTTCTGGTATTTTTAAAGTCAATTTCATGTCCTGTGGCTTTAAGGTGTTGGACCAGGGAAGATGTTGGTTCCTCTTTTTTGACTGAGTTCTTATGTTCTTCAATGCGTGCACTTATTCTTCTGTTGGTTTGTCCGATGTATGTGGTGGGACAAGTGGTGCATGGGATTTCGTATACTCCTTGATTTTCTAATTCAATTTTATCTTTGGGGTTTCTAAGGATGGTGGATATTTTTCTGTTTGTGCAGAATGCTGTTTTGATGTTGTGTTTATGGAGGATCTTACTGATTCTGTCTGTGGTGCCTTTTATGTATGGGAGGAGGGCTTTGCCGTTTTCTTGTTCTTTGTCTTGGATTTTAGTGGGGGTTTCTTTTTGGATTAGGTTTGTAATCTTATTTCTATGGAATCCATTGGATGTTAGTACATTGGTGAGAGTGTGTAGTTCGGGTTTTAGGTGTTGTTCGTCAGCTAAGCGTTTTGTTCTGGAGATGAGTGTCTTGGCTACAGAGTTGATCTGTGCTGGGTGGTGGTGTGAGAGAGCGTGCAGATAGCGGTTTGTGTGTGTTTTCTTCTGGTAGATGGTGTGTCCTAGGGAGCCATTGGATTTCTTGTAGACTAAGACATCCAGGAAGGGAAGTTGGTTGTTAGCTTCTGTTTCCATGGTGAACTGTATTTTGGGGTGTAGGCTGTTGAGGTGTGTGAGGAAGTTGTCCAGTTTTTCTTTCCCATGTGGCCAGATTATGAAGGTGTCGTCTACGTATCTGAGCCAGAGTTTGGGTTTGTGATCAGATTTTTCTAGAGCTTGGGTTTCAAAGTGTTCCATGTAGAGGTTGGCAATGACAGGTGAGAGGGGTGATCCCATGGGTGCTCCTTCTGTTTGTTTGTATTTTTGTCCATTATAGATGAAGTATGTGTTGGATAGGCAGTGGTTGGTCAGATCTAAGATGTGTTTGGGGGGGTTATATTTGTTTTGGATAGCTGTCAAGGCTTCTTTGATAGGCACTTGGGTGAAGAGGGATATGACATCGAAGCTCACTAGTAGGTCGCTGGGCTGTAAGTTTTGTTTCTTTATGATCTCTATAAACTGGAATGAGTTTTTTACGTGTGAGGTAATGGATTCTGCATAGGGCTGTAGTTGTTTGGCGAGAAATTTGGCTAGGTTTTGTAGAGGTGAGCCTATGGAGCTGACTATAGGTCTGAGTGGGGTTCCTTCCTTGTGTATCTTGGGGAGACCATAGAGTTTGGGGCATCTGGATGATTTCTCTCTGGGAATGATTCTTTGCTGGATCTCTTCGCTAATGGGGGAGGCTTTTATTTTGGATCTGGTGGTTTTTTCCAGGTAGGTGGTGGGATCTGTATTTAGGGGTTTGTATGTGGAGTCTTGGAGTAGGTTGGTTAATTTGGTTTGGTAGTCAGATGTGTTCATAACCACCGTGGCGTTGCCCTTGTCTGCTGGTAGGATTATTATGCTGGTGTCTTCTTTCAGGTTACGTAGTGCTGTCTGTTCCTCTTTGGGTAAGTTGCTTTTGGGTGGCTTGCTGGTGCAGAGGATGTTGGTGATTTCGAGTCTGATTCTGTTGGCGTCATCGGGGTTGATTTTAGTCAGGCTGGTTTCAACTCCACATATAA